GTTTATATATTTTTTTTAAATCAAGTTTCGCACACTGAAGAAACAAATTATTTCCATCTTAGCGTGTGTCACGATTTTTAAGTTTGGCCCATTTAATATACTAAATTTTGATGAATCTTCCAACTAAATTATCCAGTAATGCAGGAGTTTTCCAAAAAATTAAGAAAAGAATTTGCCAACATATTACAAATTTGTAAAGCAGGGTAAATAATAATTAAAACTATATGATTAAGATAATAGAAAGGTAATGGTATGAGATTTACTTTTTGCTTTTATTTTCCTTTGATCTAGTTTTATCAATATTCACAAAAATGATTTATTACTTTTATTTTATTTTCTTTTTTCAAGATGTTAATAAGTTAAAAATAATAATATTTTGTTATTTCAAGTGTCAGTCAATAACTATTTGGATCCAGATTTTTTATATTGTAATGAGAACTAGACATTCAGTTTTATTTTTGTTTAAACAAAAATAGAGATAACAACAAAAATTATTTTATGTAAATTTAGTTTAAACAATTTTTTTTGTTTAAGTGAATTTTATGCATTTATCAAGAGAGAAAGGAGAGAAAGAATGGGTGTAGAGGAAAGAGAGAATGAGGATGGAGAAAGCAGGCGATATAGGGATGAGGGTAAAAGGAGAGAAGGATAGAGGAGTTGGATATGGAGTAAAGAGAGGGATGTAGGTAAGTGGTGGGATGAGTGTAAGAAGAGGAAGAAGGGAGTTGGGTATGGGAGGAGAAAGGTTGAACATAAAGGTGGGAGAATAAGTGTTAGATATGAAAGAAGAGAAAGAGAGCATAAGGTTGTGAGAGGAAACACAAAATTCGTTTAGGTTAAAATAATTCACTTAAACAAATTTTGCGTAAATTTTTTTTGTCTTTTTCTTCTTTTTTTTAAGCAAATCTATTTTTACTTAAGAAAAAATGAAACTGAATATATAGTTCTTGACACAACAGGAGATAATCTTAATCTTGATTAGTAGTTAGCTTGGATCAATCCATTAGGGTTTTCAATTTTCTTTAAACATGCATCAATCCACTAAACCAAAAAAATTGACCCTATTTAGTCCTATATGACTTTTTTGAATAAACTTCTCATTCATCGTAATGAAATTTCGTCGATCAAATAAAAATAAATTATGTTAAAACTTCTTTCTTTTTTCACATTTAAATATAAATATAAGAATATTTATTTCAAATAATTTATGTACATCAAAAAATAATTAATAGTTGGAAAATGTGATAAAAGAGTATATGTAGCCTTAGTTTATATTTTTGGACAAAAATAGATATTATATTGTGCCCACACACACAAACACTTTTCATTTGAAAGAAAAAAAATATTTTCTTTTGAAAGCCAAACAAAATAAATATTTAGAAAAAGGCAATATTAATAGAAATTTACAAGTTGAAGAAAGTCTTATATATATATATATATGGGGTGAACACATTTTTTTTAATCGAGTGAAATCGCGAAACTCAAAAAATATTTTTTTGACTTGGGGAGTTGATTAAATCAGGTTCATAGACAGATAGGGAAGAAATGGAATTAATAGTAATACGGATAAAAATGATTGATATTGGTTTACAAATTTTACATGCAAGTAGAGATGAAATTAGCTTAGGTTTAGCTAAGCTTTGTAATAGATCTGACTTATTTAATGATCTATTATATGTTATAAGTTTTTTATGATTTTTTTAAAAATTTATTTTTAGTTATTAGCCTTTTTAATAGTTTGGTTCATATTCAACCTTTCAATAGGTTATTAAGTTTTTTTTATAATTAGAATATTAAACCATATATAAATAGATACGTCTTTATGAAGGCCATAAGGTTTATATCTAATTAAGTTATTAAAAAAATGGTTCAATACTTTAAATATGTGTAATAAAATTACAAATTTTTATTTTATCAAAATTCATCCGTACAATTGATGTTTTCTATCTCTTCTTCTTGATGACTACATTTTCAATCTTTTCAATGTTAGATTACACTTGACTTGAATTCAATGATAATTGATCATTCATAGGTGCAAGTGTAATAGATAAAATCATTTTGTTGCTTTTAATTGGAGAAGACATTTTGTTAACATAAAAATAAAGAAAACAAAAGAAAAAATATTAAAAAAAATTACATATAATATAAACAAGTATGCAAAAAAATGATGGATAAAATAAACCAACAATAGATGTAATCAAGACAATGTAAATACAAATCATCGTTATACATATAACATAAATCAATAGTAAAGTAAAAGACTCTAACAAATAAGATTTTTTTTTAGAAGACATGCAATAGAGACATTCTTCAACTTCAATTTAAAGGACTAGAGTTTATAACTTAAAATATTATATATTTTAAATTTAATTTATTTAATATAATATTATATTATAATTTTGATATAAAATTATTAATATATTATTATAAATTTTATAAGTCTTAAAAAAATTATTCTAATACGCCTAATAGATTTTTTTAAAAGTTTAAATGTGACATATACAATTAATTAAGTCTTTTAAAATAATACAAATTAAACCTATTACTTAAATAGATAAATTGAGTTAGATTATAAAAAAGTTAAGCTAAAAATCTTATCAAATAGTTGAACTTATTTTCATATCTATATCCTCCAAAGATACATGTGTCAACTAAAAATTATAACATATTTATTATTAAAATAAATTATGTAATTTCATGGAGTTATATGTATATATTTTTTTAATTTTAAAGAAATAGCCTACTTACTACTTATCTTAAGCGAGAGTAACTGAGAGTCACAATCATAGTACATGGGTCCATCATTTCAGAACTCAAAAATTGAAGAACTTATCTAGTAAGTAGTAAAATCTAGCTAGTGCCATTATGTTGTGTGGCCTGCGGCACCTTTGCCTCTATCCTTTCACTTTCTCTATTATATTTTTTTAAATTATTATTTTATGGCTATACTTTCTCTTTTAATCCCAAAGGATAATTACTTCACTTTCCGATTTACGAGCTTCTCAATTCTAAGGAGCTTAAGGCTCAAATTCAACTCATGAATCGACAACACTAGTGGTGAATTCAACTAACAACAACAGAGAAAGGTAAGAACGTGTTGCACCCACTGTTTGTGCTAGCTTTGATGGTTGCTTCTCCTATGAGCTTTGCATGGTGCTTGTGAACGATGGGTGGTGTCTGCCGGTGATGTGAATTTGTGTGTCTCTTTCTTTGATCATTTGTATTAATTTGTTCGCATGGTGGCTCCAATGGTTTCTTCACTCTGCATTTGTTCGCATGGTAGCTCCCTTAATGACTATAAATGATGAGTGGTAACTGTTAGTAGCACAAATTTGGTGGATATATGGTGGTGAACGGTGGCTTAAGTCAATTATAAGAGATTGTAAGATTAATATTTACATTATTTAATAATTTTTATAAAATATAAAAAAAATTAAATATTAAATTATTTTGTATATCTTTTTTTATCTTATATGATTTAGATATTTTTAAATATATTTTTTATTTAAATAAACTTACCTAATAATTTTAATGGTTTAATTTATTAATTTTATATTTTATAAAAAGTTAGTATTGAGACTTAATCGTTAACTAACTTATACACGTGTGTGTGATCATTGGAGGAGGATTAAAAATTTGATAAATGATAATAATTTTCTTTCCAGGAAAGGCGAGGCTTTGGTACAACTGTTAAAGAAGGAGAAATTTTTATATAATTCTGACCGTACAGTCCTGGCCGCTGCGATTGTGCTACCTGTCAAAATTTTATGATTTACAAAAAAAAATTATACACGTGGTACCATCGCAACGGCTGGGACAGCATGCTTCCAGACATGAGAGCATTCCCATTATGTGGATGCTTCACACCTAGAAGTAGCATTGACCGCTTCTATGCCTTTTAAGAATTTTGGAATGTTCAAAACCTCAACTATTTTTGTAGTCACTTCATTCCAAGATATATTCTTTCCCTTCGATGCATTTCTTTTTAAAATACGGTTTTGTTAATTTATCAATATTATTAACATTTTATTTCTCTTTGGAGTTTTATTAATCTTGCTCTCCTTTCCCGCGGTAGCGACAAGATGCTCTTTTGTGGCACGTGGTGGTCGGTAGGTATCGATTGTGTGGCCCAATGCGATCAAATCCTCTAAGCTAACCCCTACAAGGTGATGATGCATTCACCTCTACTCCACATTTCATTTTCAGTTTTCTCTGTTGATTCAATTTTCTTCGTAAATCTCCCTATTTGGTCGCTCCATGACTCATTGCTAGAATAATTTTTTTCGAATATTTCAGGAATACTATAATCTTAAGTTCGTCTTTTGGTCCATATGTTGAATAGTAAATTGTTTTTATCATTTAAACTAATTTATTATATAAAACTCAAGTATTTAGTGTGTTGAAAATTTTAAAATATTTAGTGTTTTAAATAATTCACATAAATAATAAATTTTATTTTTGTTTAACATGTCTTCTAATTTTAAATTTAATACTTGTTTCACATGTTAATTTTAAATATTTAGTTAACATGCACAAGAAATCTATTCCCTCGTCCCATTCAATTTCTTCTTCCCATTCAACAACACTTCGGGAATAAATTAATGAAAAGAATCAATCAGCAATTTAAAATTAATGAAAAACGTATAGAAATAATCCATCAACTAGCATTAAAAAAAAGAAAAAAAGAAGAAATAATCAATCACCACTTCAAAATTGTTGGTAAAAGCAGGATATTCTGTACCCATGATAGATATGCTATATCAGATTACAGAACCTAATTTACAACACTACTAGTTGAGTGCAGTGAAAGTAGAATATGATCCTAAATAAACTATAATTGTAAAGTCACTTTAGGGAAAACTTTACTACCATCTCTGACCTAAATAATTGATTGCCACAGTTACACCAGTGGGATTCTTAATAAACAAAACTAAAAGATACAGCACATAATCTTAGTAATACCACTAATAAGAACAATTTTTAGTTTGGTCAGTAATAGAACAAGTGGAATATTTTGCGACTTTTCTGATAGAATAAGGGTAGAAAACAACTACTATCAAGATTTTGTGCCAATCAAACGTTTACATGCAAATGAAGAATATGAAACAAAATTTTTAGGAAAAGAATACACATAACTACATGGTAACAGCTTGTTGACAAAACACACTTTTCTTTTTAGTTGTAAAAGGAAAAAAACATAGCACCGAAAGAGTTGGAAAATAATACACATAACTATGTGGTTGCAGCTAGTTGACAAAACATTTTTTTCCCCATTAGTTTTGTGTAAAATTGTCCCTTCTTCGATTTTCCACGCTAATGACAGCTTCAGATACTTGGCTGCATCTTCAATCTTGAATCCAAATCAACAATAGTAATTTCTAAAGTATAAGGACACCGAAACACGTAGTTCAATTTCTTTGATTATCGAAGCCTACTAGTAGAAGATTTTCCATATAGGTTGGCATAAACAATCCTAGTTCTGAATACCAGAACCATGCATAGGCCAGCTGCAACAATGCAGAAACCTGCCATGATAATTGAAGTTAAGAAAAAGCATATGCTACCCTCACACTTTAGAGACTCATTAACATCCTGCAAACGCAACATCATTGATCCTATATTCAGGGGATGGTGACGACCATTGTGAGCTTGTTTCTCAGCTTCAGAATCATAGATTGTGCTGGCAATGAGACTAGAGAAGACTAGAGTTCCCACAGGGTTTGCCAGAGTGATGAAATTGTACAATGCACCAAAGTTTCTCAAACCAAACAACTCAGAAGCAGTAGCTGGAACAATTGCCCAGTGAGCCCCGTAACCAAGTCCAACGAGTAAAGTGCCAACATACATTGACCCTGGCCATCCCATACCAATGAAAAGATGCCCAATAGTCATAACAAGTTGAAATACAGCCAATGCAGTTGGTCTTGGATACACATGATCCCTGCTCAAGAGAAAAAAAAAGATGCAATTCAGAATAAAACTATAAGTCTTGATGGAGGTATCTAACACCTAAATATCCTTGGCATGTTACATAATGTTTAATTTGGAGAAAGAGTTGTCTTGTTTTTTATTTTTTTCAAAAGCTTTCCTAAGAAGCTGGTAAAAAAGACTATATTTCTCTAAAATAAGCTAAACTAAGCACTCAATGAGTGTATAAACTGTCTTTTACCTTACAACAAGCTCAGATATGTAACCCCCTCCAACACGGCCAAGAAAGTTCCAAATACTGATCATTGAAACAAATATATGTGCATTGTCATAACCTAGAGATTGGCTCATCTGACCAAGATTATCAATTACAGTCAACCCAGATCCAGAACCCAAGACCATGGAAATGAAAAGGAGCCAAAAATCCGCTTTAATCAACGCTTGTGTCAAGGTAAAATCTTCCCCTCTATGTGGTCCTCTCCTCCTCTTTACCCTCACTGCGCCTTCTGCAGCTGCTTGGAGCAGTCTTGATTGCAAATGTGCTATACGTTTCTGCCTCTCCGATGCAGGAAGCAAATCCACTTCCTTAGGCTTCTCATCTTCCACTTCACTTAATATTACTTCATCACTATCAAGATGAGATTTCCCTGGTTCTTTATTCTGTGTTCCTGGAAGAAGTACCTCTTCCTCGGCATGCTTATGCTCTGGATCAAAAGTCAACGAAATGGGAATAATAATTGGGACAATTAGGATCAACAAGAGAATCCCTGTGAATATAGTGACGACAGTTTCATTCACTTCAATTAGATCTTGGACAACCATGACTCCAAACAAATAAGCAGCCAATAGGAGGCACACACCATAGACAAATGTGAAGCATTTGCCATCTGATGGCCTGACTTGTTTGTGGCCCCCAACAGGTCTAACAAGGAACATAAGACCTATTGCAACCAATGCCGGACCAACAGCAACCATAAATAGTAATGATGCATGATCAGGGGAATGGAGCAATGCATATATTTGTGTCAATATTGCACCACTCAACCCAGCAAATCCCTTTAGAATTCCAACCACAGGACCCCGGCTTTTGGGGAAATTTTGCACACAGGACACTAGAGAAACTGTGTTGAAGTAGGTCTCACCATTTGTTCCCACAAATATAAGAATACACATCTGCATCACAATGACCATTAATCATTTAACTTGGGCTGTAGGGTAAATACACATCTCTTGATTTAATAAAGCTGCATATATGCTGATTATTTTATGATTATATTGTAATGGAATATCCATTTTCATCATGACACATTAATAAGAGTGATGGACATTTACTAAATTAAGCTCATGAGGAGACATCAAAAAATAAGATGTCATTAGTAGGCATACCATAAGGGCATCTCCACAAATCTATTCCCAACTTCTTAGTGTGAATTTGGAAACACTGAAAAATCTATAAACATGGATATAATATTAATATAGACTAGTAGCATTGAAATAAACATAAATTGATGACCATTTAAACGTAAATCCAAATACAGTCGTAATTGGGATCACTGCTACAGCCCAAGCTCTAAATTTGTTGACACGACTTTTATGAAATATGTTGCAAAGTTTGGTATATATTAACAATTTTTTAAAAAGAAATCTTGGACAGTAATTATGTCAGGACTTGTAAAATACTAATGCATATACATTTTCCCAAGAGCAGTATACCAAAAAACACTACAAATGTCTAAATATCCAAAAGGAAGGCCACTTATGTAAGTTGCATTGGCTCTTTGTCCTAATTTTAGAAATTTGACCAAGGTTTGGCCTTGTCATATGTTCACATGGAGACAGCTGACAGCCAAATTAAATCGAGCGAAATTTCATTAATTATTAGAGTGCCTTAGGGTCAGCCCAAGATGCAAATTATTGCATCAATGTTCTTGTGGCCGGTGGCATCATACCACATATTTAGCACTTATTTTTCACAATTTTAAAAGCAGATGGTGACCCATAACGCTGATATAGTGATGTTACCAACCAAATTGAAGCAAGCATAAAAGGAAATAATAAATGACGAGGAGCGCTTCACCAACATATTACTATTATGGGAAAAACCAAATAAACAGAAAAAAAAAAACAAAAAGATTAAAAAAAAAAAAAAAAAAAAAACACTGAAGGGAAAATTTACCAAGCCAAAATTCACAGGACCGAAATGGAATATTCATTTGAAAGGATGTTTCTGTAAAGAACAAAGTTATTTGATTAAACCAATAGACTCGCCCAGTCAATTTTACATTTAAAATCCTTCCCTTTCATGTGGAAGAAACAGCATTTATTCCATAGATTCCGGCCATAAACTTTCTTATATGAAAAGGTTGAATTTTAACATATAATTGATGCTATTGAAAACGAAATCCGGAATCAACCTAAATCAAAGAAAAAGTCTAAAATAAATAAATCATTTCAATGAGAAGAGAAAGAAGGGAGAGCAGAAACAGACACTCCCTTTGGAACCATATCAATTTTAAAGCAAGAAAAAAACAAAGTTGAAGAGTTCATGGTCAATCAGAGGTTGCATAAGACATACGAATCTGATTTCTGAAGCAAGCAAACATTAAGAGAAAGACAACATCTTATGATCGAAAGGATAAACCGGATCATCAACATCATGAAACATTGCAACAAAGGAAGGGTAAAAGAAGAGAAAGGGGAACTCACAGCCCATAAAGGGAGAGTTGGAACTCGATAAGTAACAACCAACCAGACCCAACCATAGCCAACAAGGTTCAAAGAAGCACCAACAAGGAGAGCGCCCCAGATAGGCAAAATCTCACATAACACGCCAGTGAGGAAGCCAACACAGTCACCAAGGTCCTTGGCAACACCCAACACAGCAAGTTGCTTCTGGTTATAGTTAAGGGAACTCTTTATGACAGGTGATATGCTCCCAAACAGGTACCCAATACCTGCCCATGATTGCAACCACATTGCTGCCACAAACACAAGCCATCTACTCTTGTACAAAGACAAAAGCTTCTCCTGTAACTGACCCATCATGAGTGTTTGATTGCAATTGCAATTGCTACCCCTGTCTCTGTGTGTGTTTTTCGATCGGTCGAGGAGAGGCACCTGATATTGTGCAAGAGAAATAGATAAAGCAAAGGTAGAAAAGAGAGAGAGAAAGAGAGAGCGACAAAATTGGAAGGGTGTTAACTGTGGACGAATAGGATGAGCTGTCAGGGACTCTTCCTCTTTAACACAATTTGTATCACCATGCATTCCACATTCCACATTCTTGCCAATTTTTTCATCTTTTCTTTTTAGGATTGTGGCTATCCACTACATATGAAAAATTATTATTATTATTATTATAATGATTTCAAGAGATTATATTTATAATATTTTAATTAATTGATAACATAAAAAATTTATATTAATAATATATTAAAAATAAACTTTGTATAAGTATCTAATAATATATCATATATAATTAGAATAATATCTTTTTCAGCCTCTATTAAACACGTTTTCGAGAAGAACTATGGAAAAGAAAAGAAAATAACGTAACGGGTGACTTAATAAATTTCATATTAATTATTCTGAAAAAATCACAAATATTTTAAAATAAAATTATATCTGTGAGTGTAAATTCGTCAAGTGAAAATAAGTATTTAAAACAAATTTATCTTGTCAAACAAAATATAATGTTCAATTTTATTTTATTTTTCCAAATAAAAATTAATTATATTTTTATCTTCATATTTTGATTTGGTGAGATTTTGGACCCTCTTATTTTAATTATTCAAATTATTTCTCTCACTTTAAAATTTCACCCAATATTTAACAAAAATATAACAAATATGTAATATATTATTAATTTATACAAATTTATTAAAAAAATAAGTTTTTATTATATTTTATATATGTTATTTAGTCTTTTATTTAATAATATATATGTATATTATTAATGTATATAAATAAAAAAATATCTCACATTTTTATTATATTTTAATTATTTATCAGATAAAATTTTGGATGAGAAACTTAACTGAAACAATTTTTTAAAAATAGAAAACTAAATATAAGTTATTAAAATCAATTAAATTAAAATATATAAATTAAAATACAGAATAAAAATGCATTTAAACTTTAAATAAATTAAATTAAAAATTTTATCTTTATTTGTTAAGAAATATAAATACTTCTGTGCAAGAAGAAGAGATAAAAGATAGAAAATAATAAATGTTTAAACATAACAGTTATATAATGATAATTTTAAATATAAAATTATAGTTTATTAAACCTGTTTTTTCTTATGTTAAATTGAATTTTTTTTTATTATATATACACACATAAAATATTTATAAGGTTATACCATAAACTTATAAAACTTAAAATTGACTTATTTCTATAATAAAGTTTAAAGGCAAGCATAAGATTATTTGTTTATTAAAACATACAATTTTATTTAGTATTTAATTAGTTAAAATTAAAAAAAATTATGAATAATTTAATTCATATATATATATATATAATTACGGACGTTAGAAAATTATTAATGAGTTTTGAATGTTTCATAAACATTTTAAATATTTAAATATATTTTATAATTTTCTATTTTTAAAATTTTCTATTTTTTTTAAAGTTATGTCAAGATAGAATATTTTTTATACTCTAAATTTATCTTTAATAAAATATTGATATTTAATAAAAAAAATATAAATAATAACATTAAAATAATTAATGTTAATTCTCTTTTATTTTTTAATTTATATAATTTTTATGTGTTATATAATATATTACTGTTGCGTTATAATGTTCTATGGATTTTAAAATTCGATTATCTCTCATTTTCGGTCCTCACCGTTTTTAAAATTTTCATTTTGTGGAATCTATGCTGTGTTTCGCACACGCCAAATTCATGTTACATAAAATAAGGATTAGGTCGCTTTCACTCTCCGTGTCTCAATATATATATATATATATCGAAAGGATTAGTAATTTTTTCTACATTTAAATTATTTAAAAATCAAATGTCTAATATAAAAAAATATTATAACAAAACTAATCTTTAAAAACATTCACATTTTAAAAAATTATTAAAAATGTATAAAAATTAATTAAAAAAAAACATTGTGCAATCGCTTTTCCTCGAAGTACAACGTAAGCATTGGTCTCAACGTGCCTAAACATGCCAAAATTTGCTGCTACTTAAGAGTAGGATACGTGACGATGACATATATAGAATATTTGTTTGATAATTAGGAAGTTTTAAATATATTGTACAAATGTTTTTAAATATAGGTAAATTTTTATCATCGAAAGTAAGTAGTTTATTAGTCTTTTTTCTATTTAAATTAAGGTTAATTTTACCTATAGTACCTTAGTTTATTACACTTTATTAATAGAATACTTTATATGTTATAAGTTTAAGGTCTAGGGTCAACATATACATAAAGAATGCATTATACAAACTGTAACGCCCCGAATTTTATAATATTAATTATTATTGATATATGTACATGTGTTTATATGTATGTGTAAATGTAAAAGATGTAATTTACATTTAGATGCGTAATGATGATGTTTGTGGGTATAATGTATATGGACGTGTGTGTATATATATAATTGGATTGGATTGAATTGATTGGGTTGAAAACAGACTAAGTATGGATGTTGTTGCAGGGCATTCTCGCTATAGCGAGAGGCCCCTAAGTGTGAGGCATGAAACTGTGTCTTTCTCGCTGTAACGAAAGGGTACTGGGAGAGAAGGATGAAATTGTCGTCTTATTGTTGTAGCGAGAGGTCTCTCGCTATAGGAACAAAGCCACAGTTTGAGTTGCATTTCTGGGTGCAGTCTCGTTGTAGCGAGATTCTGCAGAAACCAAGGTGCAATTTCGTCTAAAATTTTCATTGTAGCGACAAGAGACGTCGCTGCAGCGAGAGTGTGTCGTTGTAGCGAGAGTGTCGCGACCAGAAGAGTTTTTAAAAAGGGGTTTATGGATTAAGATTTCATTTCCTTATTTTCCTTCTAAATCTCTTTGATTCTCTCGACCCAAAACCCTATTATACTGATTAAATTGCCTCCAAAGTTGTTTGGGAGCTAGATTGAAGGTTGAATCTGTGTGGGAAACGCTTGGAGGTCAGTTTTAATGGTTAGGGTTTTTGTTTTTCATCCCCTTTCTCTGTTTTTGTGATTTTCTTAGGTTCTCATGGAATTCTTCCGTGTATTTAGGACGAAATCCGTGTGGGGGAGCATTTTTGTAGTTGAATTCGAGTGTGGGCCTTCAATTTAAGGTAAAGGGGACTCTACCCAAATTGTCGCTTTATCGCTACAGCGATGGACCTCTCGCTTCAGTGAGAAGGCAAAAATTTCATGTCTTCCTCTCAGGGCCTTCTCGCTACAGCGAGAATACCCTAATATTACACCCTTAACCTATCTTTTAGTCTAATCAATCTAATCCAATCATATACAAATATAGTTATACGTGTCCATAAGCATTTATACACACCAGCATTCAATGTTTATCACACACTCAAGTGCAACTCCAATATCTATTCACATCATGCATATATATGTTTATATATATTATAAATACACAACACGAAAAAGTCACACAAACACTTATATTAATAATTAAACTAGATTACAAAATTAGAGCGTTATAGGTTCCTCTCCCTTAACTATTTTTTCACTTTAAAACTTCTTTGCAAATTCTGCCAACATTGTGGAAAAAAATTTAGATTTTTCAATTCTTCCTACATTGATCAATATGCACTTGGACTTCAATAACCTCTAAGGTATGTTGCCTTTGAGATATTTTGCATCTCAGGTTGAGACTCTTTGGCTTAATAGGTAAAAAGGTTATGATGACAACAAGCTTGGTGGTTGTTCGTGTGCAAGGGTACTCGTCGAAAAGTAAGAAAGAATTTTCAAATAAGTTCTTAAAATATCGTCTTACAATGATTATCTCTAATTACCAAGAAATTATTAATTTAATTGTTTGAACTTAAAATATACGAAATTAAATATAACAAGGATTTGAATATAAAATTAATTAACGAGAAATTAATACAGCATAGCATCTAACAATAAACTAATCGAGAAGAACTTAGGGCGCATCGTTTCATCTTTACACTTTTCTATATTCTTTTTAGATTAATTCTAATTTCAGTTTCCTTATGATTGTCAATTACTCATACTAAATCTATTAACACTCAATGATCATGCAATATTAACAGTCTTTTTTTCAAAACTATTACCCCCAATGATCATGCAAGGTAAAAGAAAGAAAAAATATAAAGTGTCTATGAATTGTCAATTTAATAACGATTAAAAAAAGAACTAAAATTGATCCACCTAATCCTTTGTCTTGTTTTACTCTATAGATTCATTAACTATATATGATACAATCTCCTACAATATAATTAATTATGATCAAGAGTTGTTAATTCTGACATACAAATATAGCGTAATAAGATAATATCAATCAAGAACATAAACACAAAATTATCATAAATCATAAAAATCCCATAGTCATGAAATGAATTCACCATAGGCCCTAGCTATGGATTTAGCTAGCATAATGTAAAAGAAAACCAAAATAACAATAAACCAATCCATAGTAATAGAAAAGTAAACGCAAACTAGAGAAGTATCCAATAAAAAAGAGATGAGGAAAGCTCTTGATCCGACGCGCTCTCAAAGCTCTCGTAGTCGTTAGTGACTAGCCAATACCAAGGTTGAAAGATATGAAAAGAGATGTGAAGTCTAAGAAAATATCAAAAGTATCCTTAAGTCGTTGCCCTTAGGTTAAATAGAGTTTGAAAATCCTAAAATTTCTTTAGAGTTAGACTTCTCGCAAGTAAGCACGGTCATGCATGTGGCCGAAGTTGTTGGAGTCTAAGCGTGGTAACTATTGCGAAACCCTATTTTTCAATCAATTTGGACTCAAAATGGACCAAAAATTCAATTGTGGCCTTCTCATAATAATCTGCATAATAATCATAGAAATTAATGTAAAAGCTTGATAAAATAATGGTAACAAATAAATATATAGCTAATAAAAGCTTGTCAAAATACAGACAGATTAATGACAATATTGATGTTTTGTAGAACATATGACTTTGTTGCTCAAGTTTGGTTTGCATTCAAATATGTTTACTGGGTCATTACCTGATTTCTCTATCTTACAAAGCTTGCAAGATTTAAGATTAAGAGATAACTCTTACGGGTCTTGTTCCTGATTCTTTGGTGGGTTTAAAATTACTCAAAGTTGTAAACTTGAATAATAACTTGTTACAAGGTTAGTGCTTGAGTTTGGTCCTAGGGTTCAT